ATGGTAGGGTTTATGGATGTATACATTCAAAAACCTTTAAAACGAGCTACTTTATATTCCGTTTGTCGGGCAACAGTAGATGTGTAGTTCAACTTCAACCCAGCTAGATTGATTGAGAACGTAGCACCATAGATGATTTTACTCTAGCTCCGATAAACTACTACTGAGCGGCAGGGTTTATGTGTTTAGGCCTTAGGGATATGATGTAAATTATATAACAAATTCTTCTATGCGAACTGTTTAGGTACGAACCGTGTGACAATCATTTTTATCCACAGATTTTTTTGTTTGACTTTTCAGCAGCAATTTGAAACCTGATGTAGCAGTTAAGTGTCCCCACAACTAACCTTTACTAGCAGGTTTATGGGAGTGGGGCCAATATGTATCCTGTTTTTGTGGGGCCTCTTTTAACTATAGCAAACAAATCGAGTAGAGGAGCGAAAATCTGGATTTCGCACAGATTTCGCATACAAACAGTCAGTTCGTATTGAAGAACGTCTAAAATTATATTCAGTTCAACACAAATAAACTAGCTAGCTAGGGAGTTAGATCCAGCAAATAAGTTTGTTGAGTAATTAAACAACAACAATATTAGGAAGAAAACTTTTTTGTGTCTTCGGATCCCTACTTGTGGCATTATTCTAGAAGCAGATACGTGCGTTGGACATATCTAATCAACAATTGGTTTGATTGCAGAAATATGTCGATAGATCAACAACGAACAAACCAACTGAGACATTTTGTAACGTATTTCGGTTAATATTAAAAAGGTTAATGCCATGCATGATTATGGACTAATCACTAATGGTAAGGTTACCCTACATTCCTACAACCAAAATCGACAATCTTTTCGATAAATTGTTGAGTTAGATAATGAACCTTTCCCGCAATCAAAGTCCAAATGATCAATCACCTTTCATTTCTGAGAGACTTTTCCGTAATTGACGATGTCTAAAACTCGTATGTATTGAAAGTTTGAAAGAGAGGTAGAGCACTATCTGAATTTTGTTCACACCAAGTAGAAAGTCTTCACATAGCTGGTTCTTCTACGGCTCTACCAAATCTCAACCAATTACAACCTAGACTAGCCATCTTTACATAAAAAAAA